CAGTTACGATTCTTGTGCTGAAAAAAATACATACAAATTCAGCACCACTTAATAAGTTCAGCAGGTGAATTTTTATTTATTAAACACCCAAAACCTCTTAATGTCTGAATGAATTTAGTTTCAGCACTTTTTTATGTTATCAAACAAGCACTTAAACAAAGAAGGTTGTGTTGGCATTTCGGGCAAATAGTGGTTTCTTCTCCTAACCTTTGAATTTCGTTCTTTGGCAAAGTTTGATCAATCCTGGACTAGTCTTGACATCAATGTCTTAGCAATTTTAAAGTCCATAAAATTTTTGAAATAAGTGCACAATCAAGAAGAAAAAGATAATAGCATTTGCTTACAAATTCAAATTATGTACAGGGAGAACTAATTTTTAAACAGTAAAAATTATCAAGGATCAATTTTCAAGTTTCAATTGTTGTGAATCAATGTACTTCTCAAAACAATTATGGGCTCAAAGATGAAAATGGAATTGAAAAAAAGGAAAAAAAAAAATAGAGACTGCAAAGTTGAGAGCGAAAGTGGGAGAGACAAAATGGAGAGAGACTAATTTGAAAGTGAATCACTTTTGAAATATTTTCTTATACTATATAAGAATGAGTTTAGATCGAAGGGGTTTTGAATTTCAACTGGAAGGATAGGGGCATTATGGGATTGTGAGGCTGTTTGGAATGTAGTTATAGTGCAAAGTACAATTTATGGTAGAGTTTGTTTTCTTGTACTTCCGAAAATGGCCTTTTGTTTTGTAAATGCTATATGGTTCAATTTATGTTTTTGAAAATATTTGGACATTTCTGAAATGTGTGGGTATCGTGGTTGTCTTTATAGTAGTGACTAGGGGAAAAAGCCCACGTCACGCGCGGGAGTTTAGTACCTGTAATTAAAGATAGTTAATAATTATTATTTGGTATTTTGTAGTATAAGAATTGAAGTATGATAATTTTATTATGTGATATTAAACAGAAAAATTATAAATTACATATTGAGTCAAAAAAATATAATATGCAATGAAATGTAATTATAAGATACGATCAAGCACTTTGCGTTTAATCTAATAGAATAAAAGATCTACTTATATTTGCTCATGCACTTTAGGAATATTAAAATTTGTTATTTAGTTTGAATTTGATCTTGATATGAGGGCAATTCACCACATTATCTAGTCATATAAGTGAGATTTGAACAATTAGCATACTTGAAAAAATCACTGCCAGTGGAATTTTGGTTCTTGCAAGCCAAATTCTTGAATTTATATTGATTCCAAGGACATATCATCATGAAACCTCCACATTGACCAATCAATCAATTATGATTTATTTTATGATTTAGGACATATAGCAAAACATCTCCTTCTCGATAGGGGTTACAATCACAAAACATCAATTTTTGACCTAGTTGCAAAAATATACAATAACTAACACGCTAATCTAGATAAATAATTACCTAAAAAAATACTAAAACATCTTAATCCACTCAATTCAAGAAAACAATTAAAAGTAATGAAGTACATACTTTTAAGTAGATAGTTAAACATATGGCATATCAAATGAAGTGAAAAATTGCCTAAATGGAATCATCAATAAAGTAGCAAACAATTTGAAAATTACCGTAACTAATAGTTAAAACAACAAAAGAAATAGATGCAATCTATAAATGGAAAAATTTATGATGATAAACTTATTTTAAACCACAAATAACAATTAACAAATGTGATCTCCTTCCTATCAAGTCTATCTAACATGGACAATTGAATTAAAACACTAAAAAAAGTATTGCACATACAGCTTGCAAGATCACAGATTTCTTACAACCAAAAAAGTAGATTAGCTACAGAAAATATACCTATTGAGAAAGATGTTGCCAAATGGGAAAGAGGAGTAGCTAATACAGCAATATCCGAATTCAATAGACTACATGATTGTAGTGGAACAAAGTTATAAGTAAATGAAATGAATTTGAATAGATGGGGGTTACTATGGTAACGGCTAAGAAACCAAACTTCTCTACTAATCGACATTAATTGTGTCTTAACATCTATATATCATAAGTTTGCAAATAACTGATGAGAAAGGCTTTAAGAAATTAAGAGACTTGGATGTTAATACAATTAAATAATTAAAAGGGTTTTTATGTAATTCCACTAAAACACAAGTTGAATTCAATTGTACCCAATGTTCAATCGGATGTCGAACACTGTCATAGGTTAAACTTACCCCTAGCTTTAAATGTCTGAGAGGACATTTAAGTAATTATAAAAAAAAACCAAATTAGCTATAATGATTCATATTCAATACTCCAATTGCACTTTATAATACTCTCATATTCCCAAAATAGCCCCACCATTGCGGTTGAAATCTTTGTCCTAAATTCTTTGTCCTAAATTCATTCTTATGCACCGAAGAGAGTCTACTGTTCACTTTTCGTCGTCGTCACGTGCTGCTCGTGTGAGTTACTTCTGTTGTGTGCCACTCACGTGACTTCAACATAATTCCTTCCGGATGCTCCACTGTTGGAATGGTTCTCCTGATTGGGTCGCACATGGGTTTTCTTCTGCTTTGGACTGGTCTTGCAAGTTGCTTTCCTTTCCCGGCTCTCATCACAGCTGCATTGTCTGGAAGTAGCAGCAGCGCTTCATCAAGAATGGTAATTGGCGTGATTTCTCATGGCTTCCCCTTCCGCTGTCGTCCGAATTCCGAGAAAGGTTAGCTGTGCCCTTTTTGCCTCCGGTTTTGTTCATTTGGTTTCTCTCATTTTCATTTTCTCAAATATCTGGTTTCTCGCTTCCATTTTTTCACTTTTGCTGTGTCCTTGAACCCGTTCCCCTTTTTTATCTCCTTCCTCTCTCCGTCTTCTCGGGCATCTTGATTGCGAGCTTGGTTACATCTCACGGAGCTTGCTTTACTAGTGCGTTTTACCGTTCCCTTTTTTGTGCTCCTTCCTCTCGTCGTGGCTCTCTGGGTTCCTATGCGTTTTTCCCATATCATTTTTCCCTCCCAATTTTTGATGCTTTAATCCTTGTCGTGTTTTTGATGCTGCTGTTTTCTTTAATTGTTGCCTATTTCGCTACTATATCTATCCCTTATTCTTGCCGTTTAGTGTTCCTTGCTTATATATGTCATTAGTTCCGTGTTTCCGAGTAATATTGCTAATGTACAAATGGTTTTCCCTGATATGATTTTTCTCTGCTGTAGATTCCGTTGCTGTTTTCCCTTGGGATTTCCCGTGATATGCATGTGTTTCTGTTTCTTAAATTTTATCCCCTTTTGTTGTCGTTGTTGGTTATAAATGAGATTCTTAGCCGGTGGAAATGGCTGCCAGGCTCCTTTTCTTTTTTAACTTTTTGGGGTTTCTCTGGCACTTTTAACGTAGAGTGGGGTACCTTTTTCATAGAAATCCAAATCCATCTAGGTGAGCCAATGTTGTTTGCCCATAAATATGATTTCTACCCACAATGATTTTTCCCTGTGGCTACCAAACCCCTTTTCCAGTTTTTGTAGGCTTCTTTGGCATTTTTAATGTAGATTGAGGTAAATTTTCGCACAAATGCATTTTTAAGTGAACTGATCTTTGTATGTCTATGAATATGATTTTTTATCTCAATTATTTCTGTGTAGATGGGTTGCTCTTACTGCATTTCCTTGTTGTTGCCCTCGAGTCCTTCTTAAATGTTTCATTAACCTTGCTGCCTTCTGCTTCCGTCTTTTCTTTTGTATCTTCTATTACCCTTGTTGCTTACAAACAAAATTGCTTGCCTAATGTTTGCTGCTGCTTCTTTCCCTACCCTCTAAGAAATGGCTACTGGGACTGTTCCCATATCGCGAGTTGATGAGTCTGCATTTGATTGGACTGTGCTGGTTCAAGTTATTGAGGCTGATCGTGTGAAGATTGCTCGGGATGGGGATTTATCGAGGTCTTTCCGTCGGTTTGAATTTGGTGATTTTCAGGTTTGTACCCTCCAGATTTATCCTCCTTGCCCACCTTCTATTGTGTTCATTATTTTTTTTGTCTCACTAATTGAATCTTTTGAGTTTTCCCCCCCTGTGGATAGGGTATCAAGGTCTCTGCAGTTGCCTTTGATGATGACATTGCTATTGTTGATGGCCGTCTGTTGCCATTTAGGAATTATTACATATCAAATGCAGAAGTCCGTGAAATTCCCGACCTTGTGGGGACTGGCCTGTATTCATTTTACTGGGTTATTAAAGAGGGAACTGCTATTGAAGAGGCTGCTGGCTCAGGGGAGTTGGCCCTTCCTTTCTATTTTGAGTTGCGCTCTTTTCAGTACTTTCACTTTGTGGCTGACACAGATGTTTTTATAAGTTCATCTCTTTTTTTGATATGCTTTGCATTTCTTCCTTTCTTGCTGTTTGATTGTTCCTGATTGTTTGCATGTGTGTTTTTAACCTAGATGTCATGGGAGTGGTCATCCATGCATTACCTCCCCGGGATGTGTATTTTGAAGGGAGTAAGCGATATGGAAGAGATTATATTATAGTTGACCATTGGTGAATTTTTCCCTCTTGCAAATAAGGCCTTTTATTTCTTTTGTTCCTGTTTCCCAACAACTTTTCATACAGTAGCTGCTTGCTGCTTATTTTAAGCCTGTTCTCTTCTGTGTGTGATGCATGCAGTAAACGCCCAGTGCTATTGACTTTGTGGGATGATTATGAGTCTATTGAGGGCTGTGTTATAAATGCATGCCGATTATTATTGCTATGAGGGTTAGGGTTACCACACGAAATTGTATGATTCCTTGTCACTTATGTTCTTTCCCCCCTATATGGTTTCTTTGCTTATGCATGTTTTTTCTGCTCTGTTGTTTAGACCTGTCACTGTCAACTCAGCCATCATCTGTTATCATTGCTGCTCCCGATGTTCTTGAGGCGAAGCATCTTGATGATTGGTAGTCATTGTCTATTTCTGCATTGTATTTTTCTATGTTTTTTTTAGATTGTATCATGCATAGAACTGCTTTGTTCATGTAGGTCTAATGCTAATATTTCGGAGCTGGTTCGTATGACTTTTTTATGATATGGCCTACCTTGATTCGTTTGTTTTGTTGCCCCCTGTTCGTGACGCGACGCTCACACAGATCTATAATGTTATATCCCATGCTAAATCTGTTGCTAACAGGGTATTGTAATTTTGTACTCCTGTTAGTATGCTTCTTTTGTTTATGCCTCTCTTTACATTTTTTCCGACCCTGCTCAGCTACTCTTTTGTTGTTTCTAGGACCAGGGGACTTTTTGGATTAAGAGCCGTGTTGAAATTGCATGGCCTTCATCTCTCTTTTGGCATATGGCCTGTCCTCATTGTTATGAACTCTATGAATTTTCGTCAACTTTGGGGATCATATGCCTAAGTTGTGGTCAGGGAATGCATGAGTTCCCTAGGTGATCTCTTATTCTATTGCTTTTGTGTATGTTTCTGAGTTATTGATATACAATCAATTGTATTTATGTTTTTTACTTTTTCATATCATCTATTGTCTGCTAGGACATGGGTTCGTCTTACGGTGTTCGACAATACTAGGTACGTGAATGTTATTGCCTTGGGTCCAGAAGCTGAGCACCTCATCGGCCTATGTGCTGCCGATATGTATCGTGTTTCTGACCATCAGGTGATGTATGTTTAAGTTTATTAGTGTTGCTCTACTACTGCAGGTGTTCATTTTGCTTTTAGCGCCCAATTCATTCCTTTGCCCAAATTTATGGCATCTTGCTTTTTCTGCAGACCTTTGAAATCTCCAAGCGTGTGTCTCGTCAGATTGATGGAAAGGAACTGTTGTGTTACCTTAAGTATTCATCCAAGATGATCAGGACAACAACACATACTAACTACACTATTGTTGCTTGTTATCCTACTTCCGGAAATGTTTCTTCTTAGAGCATGCCTTTTTGTAGGCAATGTTTAGTCTGTTGCCTTGATTAGCAGCCTCGTAGGTCCTTACATCACTAAGCATTATTTTTGTATCCCATGGTTGTATTTTGCTGTGTTTAGTTATTGAATTTACGGTTTGCCACCGTGTACTATGGGTGGCTTTTTTGGTTGGGTATTTCTTGCACGTTCAGTTTTATGCTTTGTAATGAATGGGTTTCATTTCAATGGACTTTTATGGCTGATATTTATAGTTGTTTTCTTTGGTTGTGTTCTGTGGTGTTGTTATATGCATGATGAGCTGCTCTGGCTCTTCCGCGCAATCTAACAGATTCCATGGATTTTATGATTCGAGGGGTTTTTGAGCTACAACAGGTGTATATATATGTGCCGACATTAAACAAGTTCGGCCTGATGTAAAGCTTATGTATTGACAGACTTTTACGTTTGCCTGGAGTTCATTCTGATGGTTTTGCTTCCAACCCTTGCTTCTGTCATCACACTGGACATATTTTCCCATTAACACCACCAACGGCTTTTGTTCCTTACGGCTTTTACGTATATTGCCTTATTTTTCTTAACATTTCTTATGCTTCCTTATTACTTTTTACGGGTGGTTTGCCAATTCACCTATTGATTTGTGGTCCACTCAAGATATATATATTCCGTTGCTGGAATGCAAGTTACTAATGCACTCGTTGTTGCCCGATGTAATGTGCCAACGATTGGTTTTCGTATTCCTAAATTATTTCGCTTTAGTTAGTTTTCTACTGAACTTCGCTTTTTCCCTTCCTTGTCCATTCTACCAGCATCATGTATGGTAACCTCTAAATATTTAGTTCTATGCTATGATCGGTATAAAAGTAATACCTTCTTGATGATGCCTAAATATTTAATTGCCCTCACTAACATCTTTTTTCCCCCACGGCTGTTTAATTGCTTGGATTAAATCGGAAGGTATCATATATGTGTTTTGCCTCCATCATTTCCCCCCGTAAAATTTTTTTCTATCTGCCATTCACTTTTTTTTTACCATAATTCTATGCGCAATATTTTTAAATTCGGCGAACAGATTTTTTCTTTTAAATCGTACCTATATTTTTTTGGCTATATTTTTAGAAAGCGAAAAAATAAGTCCGTAAGCTTTTCCGTCGTTATCCTGGTGTTCTATGTGAAAAAAATTATAACGACCTGTTTACCTTTCGTTAAGACTTTTTAGTTTTTACTTGTGCTGTCTTGTACTTTTGCCATGGGAGTGTCTATTTTTTTAGCTCCTTTAGTGTTTCCCCCTATGTCTAACGTCTACTAGAGAATTGCCTTTTGTTGCCTTTTCTTCCCCTTATGTCTCATTGTTTCCCTTTACGCCTGTTCCTTATCAATAGTTTTTACCTTGCAGATGGTTGTGCTTTCGCCTTAGTTAAGGATGTTGTGAATCTTTCCTTTGTCAGGCGCTTTTAATTGCATATGCTCATAGTTGTCTCTATCTTCGTTTTATCCAGGTTCTCTATTATTGAAGCTTAACGATTTTTATGCTATCTAAATATCCGTGTAGGCAACAGAGCCCAGTAGCTTACGATCATTTAGACTATGGAACAGAACCATTCTTTCTTGGTTATCTTTTCAAAAATGCTACTCGATTCTCCAATGCTGCGGCATTGTCCATTAATAGTTACTCATTTTCTTGGTCAATGTGCTCCTACCTCTTCGAAATTTTTTCTCAGCTTAGGTCTTCTTTTGCTTATCACGCATTTTTATTTAATGGTGCTCTTCCGTTGTATTCTCACAACTGCTGGCTTGCTCGAAACTTTTGTCCTCTGTGTTGAGCTTTCCAGGTAATTTGTTCGTTCTTCTCTTATTGTTTGTTCTTTACCGGTCCACGCTGCACTAGCATTATACGTAGGCAAGTTTATGTTATTTTTGCACGCCATGTGTTTGTTACATGCATGTAATGCATAATGCAGCCTCATCTAGCATTTTATTTGCATGAAAGTTATCGTTGTAAAAGAACAATCTATCTACTGTCTTGTGATTATCTTGTCCTTTTTTTCCATGGGTTTCTTCTTTAACTGCACTTCCCTTGAACGTACATTGGTTGCTTTGTTCTCATATGGACGTATGACTCGTAGACCATTGTTCCTTTTCCGAAACATTAGCTATTCTGCTTTCATTTTTTTGTTTCTCAGAACATTACGGTTCTTAAAAATCTATGGTTGCTTTTTTCCAGCTTATCTTGTTCTTTTCCCAACAGGAGTTTCTTCTTGCACAGCGCTTTCCTTGAACTTGCATTGCGTGCTTTGTTCCCAGGTAAACTTCTACTTTTACCGACCATTTTTCCTTTTTCCTGTTCTTGATTTAACGAACTTTGATGTGTTTTGCATTCTGTATATCTGCTAATTTTTTAATATTCCGGTTAGTCCTCCTTTTCTTCTCTTTTTTCCTCCTGCATTGGTTTATTCTTTATGTGTTCTATTTTTCTCTACCTTGCGATTTAACCTTTTTGCCATATGAAGTCTTTTTCCTCCTTCGAATTTTTTTTGTTGGCTACTCTGTTAATACCACTACCTTTTATGCTGCTCGTCATATAGTGTTTGCTTCATGGATCAATGGATTATAACTTAAAACGGCGCATGCGATACGCTGCTATGGATCAAGAGAAGAAAGATGCTTTGTTATGCCCTAGGAGAGCAGCGTATGCTGCGAAAAAACAAAGTAGTTCTCTTGCTCCCACTCTTGTTGTGCAACCGTTAGAGAAAAATAGGTCTATGCGTGCCCATTGTTCAACTGGTTCCGAGACTGCCTCTATTCTGGTAGATACGCCCTTTGGAGCCTGTGAAATACCTGATACAGATGTTCAGGATATAATGGGTAACGATGAATTAGCTGATGCATTTGATGTTATTTCTGAACGACTAGCTTCGAATGTGAGAAGCCAGAACTTGCCTCCTCAAAGCTCCTTACCTGTTAGTTCTAACGTGCCTTCGCCGCTAGGAGGTATATTATTTATTAGACTAGATTCCTGAGTTATACAGTCTTTATTTATCCATCTGGCCAATTTCTGATTGGATTCTCTTTTGAATATACCTCCTTCCTACCCGCTTACATAGATTCCTCTATTCTTATCTCTCCAGTAATTTATACCTGACTCTCTCGTGCACTACTGTTGTTACTTCGTTGTGTCTTACACCAAAATTATCTATAGCTGATTCCAAATCATCGATTTTTCTATGTATTTCTATTCTGGTTAATCTGTCTAAGATTCGGTACCTATTTTTTTTAGGTCATGGCATGGTGCCTGTTGAAGAGGGTACCTGTGTTCTTGATTTTGGTAACTCTAGATTTTTTGATTCTTTAAACAACCCACAGATCGTTGTGAATACACGCGTTGAGGGCGAAGGTTAGTGATGGATTATCTTATTTCTTTATGTACATCTAAGAGTAAGATTTTGGTGTATTTGCTCTTGTCCGTCTACGGTGATATATTTTTTCCCCTATTGTCTTAGGAAAAAGGAAACGAACTAGAACCACAAATTCTTCACGCTTCAAAAAAATACCGACAAAACCTCGTCTTGCCCAGTGTTCCGGACTGTGAGCACTGTGGAGCAAAGAGGTTTACCTTGGAACCGCCCAAATTTTGTTGTCGTGGTAGGGAGATTTCTGTAGTTTGTCCGAAAATGCCTTATGAACTCTTTCGTCTTTACTCTGGTACTGACGAGGAGTGTGTTGAGTTTCGCAAATGGGTTCGAACCTATAACAATAATTTGGCCTTCACATCGTTTGGCGCCAAGTATGATCGTGCCTTAACAAAGAATACTAAGCGTGTTTATACTTTTCGGGTGCAAGGCCAGGTGTACCACTTATTGAACAGTTTGGTCTCTCCCACTGATCAAGCTACTGGTGTTCAACTCTATTTCTACGATCAGGAAGAGGAGTTGTCAAAAAGAGTCGCTGGTTCGCCTAGGCTACATGAAAGTACCCTCAAATTGTTGATGCGTATTCTTGAAGCTAATCCATACACTAAATTTTTCAAAGGCCTTCGAGATGTTCCTGATCTAGACAACCATAGGATTGTTCTCAACTTTGATCCTCGGTTGGATCAGCGTGTGTACAATGTGCCTACTTCATCCCAAGTTGCTGCCATTTGGACAGAGGATGAGGATGAAGCACTTGAAAAAGGTGCTCATATTCAGGTTTATACACATTCAAATGTGAGTCATAGGATACCACATTATTTTGCGTCCTATGATCCATTACAGTGCCCTCTCTTATTTCCTCGGGGTGAACCTGGTTGGCATTATGGCATCCCAAAAAGTACTGACCCTAATGAAAAAACAAAGAGGCTGGCGATGATGATGATGTCATGCCTAATTTTTCCTTAGTTGGGGTGCATCAGGCTTGATTCAACATGAACACGCAGGCAAGTCTTCTTACTCCGTTTATGATTTTTTTTCCCCAGCCACATGTTAAATGAAGTGTTACCTAAGTCTCTTATTCTACTTTTCCCTTTTACGTCTTGCCGTGTAGCTGCTGAGAGTGGGAAAAAACAACGTGATACTATTTCTGCGAGGGAGTACTACTGTTACTTACTTCAGATGAGAGAAAAAGATAGATCAATGTTGTTGCACACAAGGAGGCTGTTACAGCAATTTGCTGTTGATATTTATGTGAAGATCGAAACATCTAGGCTTGACTTCCATAGAAAGAATCAAACTAATATTAGGACTGAGATTCTACAAGGTGTAATGGATAGTCTATCTGCTGGTCAAACCGAAGGAAAAAATGTCGGTCGTCGAGTTTATCTCCCAACTTCTTTCATTGGTGGTCCAAGGGACATGCGCCGTAGATATGTTGATGCGATGGCATTAGTCCAGAAATTTGGTAGGCCGGATCTTTTCATTACCATGACATGTAATACGCAGTGGAGATAAATCCAAGAAAATCTCAAATATGGAGAAGATGCGCAGGATAGGCCTGATTTAGTGTCAAGAGTGTTTAGAGCAAAATTTGAGTTGCTCAAGGCTGAAATAGTGAAAAAAAAGATTTTTGGGGAGGTTGTTGCGTGTGTTCATGTTATTGAGTTCCAGAAAAGGGGTCTCCCTCATGCTCACCTCTTAGTCATCCTTAAGCCAGAATTTAAACCATTGAACTCTGATTCTTATGATCGGATTGTGTCTGCTGAGATTCCAGATCCAGAGAAACAGAGCTATTTGTACAATCTTGTCATCAAGCATATGATGCATGGACCATGTGGAGTTCTGAATAAGGATAATGTTTGCATGAAAGATGGGCTCTGTAAAAACCATTATCCAAAAAATTTTACCGAATTCACAGTCCATACTGAGGATAGATACCCGCACTATAGAAGGCGGAATAATGGACGCTCTGTAAGGGTGCGTAATAGCAGCCTAGACAATCGATGGGTTGTGCCATATAACCCATATCTTCTTGCTCTCTTTGACTGTCACATGAACGTCGAAATCTGTTCGATGGTTAAGTTGGTCAAGTATTTGTATAAATATGTCTATAAGGGTCACGATCGTGTTAGCTTCCATATTTATTCAGAAAATAACCCTGACAACATAGATGAAATAAAGAATTTTCAAGCTGGGAGGTGGGTAGCCGCTGCTGAAGCTTTTTGGCGTATTTATAGGTTTAATCTAAATGAAATGACTCCTGTTGTGTATACTCTTCAGTTGCATCTTCCAGGTCAGCAAATGATCTCTTTTCATAAAAATACGAATCTTGCTGATCTCTTAGATCGAGCCGATTTTTCCAAGACAATGCTGACAGAGTTTTTTCACATGAATAAAACCAACAAACGAGCTCAAAATCTTAAATGCCTGTACCGTGACTTCCCAGAATTTTTTGTCTGGAAGACTGCTAGGAAAAGATGGACTAAACGGAAGAGAAAAAGAGTCATTGGTCGTGTTGTTACTGTTGCTCCAAATGAGGGAGAACGCTACTACTTGCGACTTCTCTTATCTCATGTTCGTGCTCCCACGTGTTTTGAAGATCTCTTGACTGTTAATGGAAAGCTTATGATTTCCTATAGAGAAGCTGCCTTCCAAATGGGACTTCTTCAATCAGACACACATTTAGAAGACACGCTTAATAAAGCAGCTGCCTTTCAGTTGCCCTCTTCGTTAAGAACTCTCTTTGCAATCTTGTTAGCCTATTGTTCGCCAAGCAATCCTAGAGTCCTGTGGGAAAAATATGAACCTGTGATGTCAAGCGATTTTGAGAGAGCTAAGAGTTTTTCTGTTCGAACTGTTGAACACATAAGAAGATGTGTTTTGCTGGATATAAATAAATCCTTGGAACAAATGGGGAAAAATGTCAATGACTACCATTTGGTACCTGATGATTTCATTCTCAGTCATGATGAGCGCCTCACAAGAGAAATTCAGAGTGAGCTAAGCATACAATTTACAGAGCAGGACTTGCTATTACCTTCACAGCTAAATATAGGCCAAAGATATGCCTATGACGTTATTCTACAGGAGGTTTTCTCCTTTGGCAATACCAGTTTTTTTGTTGATGGACCCGGCGGGACTGGTAAAACCTTTCTTTATCGCTCTATTCTGGCAACGCTTAGATCTCAAGGATTCGTAGCAATAGTTGTTGCATCATCTGGAGTAGCTGCATCTATTCTTCCAGGTGGGAGAACCGCACACTCAAGGTTTAAAATCCCGTTGGACATTTCTGCAAGCAAAGTCTGTCATATCAGCAAACAGAGCTCTGTTTCTAAGCTTATTATAATGGCTAAATTAATTCTATGGGATGAAGCTTCTATGGCCAAGAGAGACACGATTGAAATTTTTGACAGGTTGCTGAGAGATGTAATGGATTCTGATCTACCCTTTGGTGGCAAAGTAGTAGTATTTGGGGGAGACTTTCGTCAAACTTTACCTGTAATTCAGAATGCAACAAAGGATCAGCAAATAGAAGCCAGCTTTGTCAACTCACCTTTATGGAGTACTCTTCGGAAGTTAATCTTGACTGAAAACATGAGAGCTATCTCTGATGGCCAATTCTCTGATTTCCTGCTAAGGATAGGCGAAGGTTGCGAACCAAAAGACGATGATGGAAAGATAACTCTATCAAAGGATATATCAATCCCTTTTGATAACAGAGAAAGTTCACTAAACAGGTCAAATTTCATTTTTCATTTCAGGCTCCGTCATTACTTTGTTAATGTACATCCGATTTATTAAATGTGTTATCTTACCGAAATTGTTTGTTAACCAGGTTAGTGGATTTTGTGTTTTCGGATTTGAGCGTTTATTCATCTGATCCATACCAGATCACAAACAGATGTATTCTTACTCCAAAGAATACGTGTGTTGATGATATAAATGAGATGATGATTGATCGCTTTCCTGGAGAACCTTTTGTGTATATGAGCACTGATCGAACTATTAATGAGAGGGATCAATCTGACTACGAAGACTTTTTAAACTCTTTGAATCCCAAGGGTCTGCCCCCTCATAAATTGGTGCTAAAGGAAGGTTGCCCAATTATTCTTCTTAGGAATTTGAATCCTGCAAAAGGCTTATGCAATGGAACTCGACTTATATGTAGACAGTTAAAGCAGCATGCGATTTGTGCAGAGATTGCAGTTGGTCAGCATCGAGGAAAAAGGGTTCTTTTACCAAGGATACCTCTCCAAACATCAGACAATGAAAAGAATGGAGTTCCTTTTAAGCGAACCCAGTTTCCCATCAGACTTTGCTTTGCTATGACGATTAACAAATCGCAGGGACAGACTTTGGATCGTGTTGGAGTTTATTTATGAGAGCCTGTGTTCTCACATGGCCAGCTATATGTTGCACTATCTCGTGCTAGGACATCGTCTTCTGTTAGAGTTTTAATATTACCTGGAACATTCAGTGATATTATAACTGAATTCAAGACAAGAAATGTTGTATTCCATGAAATTTTTAGTTTGTCTAAGAAATAAATCTTACGTTTTGAAGTGTACGTAGTACTCATGCATAACTGAAACTTTATATGAACTATCCTTTTATGCAGCCTCTTCTCTGTCATTCCTGTTTAACTTGACAGATTTGATAGTTTTGTTTCTTTGCTTGTTCCAGTATGGCAAATACATTGTATATTGATGATATTGTACCTGGAATGAAGTCTTGGACAGCTGAAGTAATAGTTCAAGAAAAGTTGAACCCAGGATCTTCAACTTCCACACCAACCAGATTCCAGAGACTTATTTTTGTTGACTCAAAGGTACACTTCTATTCATTCTCTTTCAGTTAACATGTCCATTGCCTTTGTTCACCCCTAATCATTATCGCTATACGTTTTATTTATAATTGGTCAGCCTCTATTTTATTTATACTTGGTCAGCCTCTATTTATATGCATTTGCGTTTGATACAGGGTTCAAGAGTTCAAGGAATTCTTTTTAACTATGCTATTGAAAAAATGGGGCCAAAGTTACAACTTTTCAAGAAATATCGTATCTCAAATGCTGAAGTGAAGAAAATTTCAAAGAAATTTTGAACTGATGGAATTGAACTCCAATGGATTATAGGAACACAGACTGTTGTTGAGGAAATTGAAAGTGAAGGAAACAGTGTCTTGCCGCTTCAATTCACGCTCACACCATTTAGGGAATTCGCTTGTTATGCAGATTCAAAGACTGAAACTGTTGGTTAGTTTGGCCTTTAATCTAATGTTGATTGAATTTTGATGCTGTGATTTATAGATCTCTGATTTAAGCTCCTGCTCAGTAAAATTTTTTGCTTTCATTTATGATAATTTTTCTACCTTTACTACTATCTTTCTTCAAATTACAGATGTTCTTGGTATTGTTATTGATGTCCATTCTGTCATCCCAATCAACAAAGACTCGAAGGAATCATTTGTGCAGAGATTTGTTATTATCAATGAGGAGTATGGACTATTTTTTTCCCAATTATTCCCTGTTGTGCACTACATAAAATTATGTCCTCAAGCTTATGTGCTATGAAATCAGTTTAAAAGGTTACATTTTATTGTTTCTTATGTAGGATGAATCCAATGATATTATCTCTTTGGAACGACTTCATTGAGAATGAGGGTAAGACTATCACTGAACAGAAGGACAACTATCCAGTTGTGATAGGTCGCAGACTCAAGGTTGTTACTTATGGAGGTGAGGCCTAATAGAAGTTAAATTTTTGATAATTTAATTCTATGTGTGTTTATTCATTCCTATTCTAACTGTATTTACCTATCAGGAATCGCCCTATCAACAAGAAATGATTCAGTTATTCTTGTGAATCCACCAGTTAGAGACGCCAACCAACTCAAACACTGGTCTTACAATGTTTATTTGATATGTACTTTCCTTTTTTTTTCTCTCGCTAGGATAGGTTACTTGACATTCATTACTGCATTTATTCTGCAATGAACTTTATAGGGCTGTCAGAAATGAAAAGAGTTTCTCTACTCTTGTTCAAAACAAGTCGTACAGCAATTATAGTCCCAGAATGTTTTATGATCGAAACCACAAAATTACCTCGCTTGTGGATATTACCCCAGCTCAAAAGGTCATGACTTGTTTATTGCTGGATTCAATTCTTCAAATGATACAACTATGTTATTTTCCTGATCTGTTTATACATATATATACACCTAAATATTCCTCTAATCTGTTTACAAATTTCTGCAGGTGGCGTGGGTTAAGGCTTGCTTTTCTTTTGAACATATACTGCAGAAGTATTGGTATATGTCTTGTATTAAATGTTATCGGATGACATCAGCAAACTATGATTCAGCTTACACATGCAACCACTGCAATGAGAAACAGAAAGCTGTACCAAGGAAATTAGCACTTTTGTTCATGAGCTATTATTGTTCTAAATAGCACTGACTTTCTTGAATTTACTGACCTATTTCTCAAGTACATATTGATGCAGATGTCGTTTCGATGTTGATCTCACTGATGAAACTGACACAGTCACAGCTTCAATATTTGGCGAACTAGCAGAATCACTACTTAAATTCACTGCACTTCAAGCACTGGAGCACTATAACAAGGTCGAAATTACGACTACCTTTGGCTAACTCTGTATTAAATGCATGCAGATTATCATACTAATACACGTTGACGGGGTTATTTAACAGAATGAAGAACTCCTACTGGAAACTGTGCATAGAGAGCTTAAAGAAAAGATGTTCATTGCCCAACTGAAACCAGGAAATACAAAGGATGGTAGTGGAAATCACCGTTACACAATTGCTTATTACTTCGAAGAAAATGCAGCAACATCTTCTTTCAACAAAGATTCCTGCATCAGTGTTCAGAATCAGTTTCTTCAAATTGAAGCACAGAACTCAGAAGCTGGTTCTTCAGGTTCCTTTTTTTACAATCTTGCTTTCCATTCCTCTTGTTCGCTTTATTAACATTGCTTGCTTTTTCGTTCTAGAGGGACAACGATCTTCTTCAAAACCACGAGTTCGCCTCACAAGAAGGTTTAGAGATTCTGGAGAAATGGAAGAAGAATCTACAGAAGTTGATGACTCTTGCAACAACAAAAAAACAAAAACTGTCTGATCTTTCCTTGTCTATGCTACTCTGTTAAGTTGCATTAATGCTGTTACAGATCTTTTGAATACTGTCAGGAATAGACAAGCTCGAGCTGATGCAAAGCTTGTGTTTTGTGTTTTGTTGAAACTTATATGTGTCCCTTGCGTTCCATTTAGATGCTTTTGCTTGGAAGGCTGACATCTTCTACATTGTTGTTAGCAATGAATTTTATACCGTGTACCTCCCGAATGCTTATCAACATATGGTATATTTATCCGTTTATTCATCAGCGCACCTAGCTTTTGTAGCCATGTAACACATTGATTGCCATGATTCTGTATGTGTAACGAACTGCTCTATCAATTTGCTACACAATTTGACAACTGGAAGTACTGTCATACAGATGCATTTTGTCTGAAGCGAGCTCTTTTTTTATCTACCGCACCAGCCAGTTTCAGAATTCCAAACAATTAGACCGCATTTACATTTAATGCAGACTTTCCTTTTTTCTTCATACTTTCTTACAGTAATCGACTTTTAATCTATGTTGTACTCTTAATATTTAATCCAAACACGCGATCATCATCTATATAAACCCTTCTTAATCCCATCTAAATGGGCATTCATGCAGGTTACTCCACCGCGCAACGCCGCGGTTATACCTCCTAGTATAGTATAAGAATACAAGTTATAATAGTCTTTGTGTTGCTATAATGACCTAAACGACCTCAATTATCTATTAGTCTCTGTTCCTTCTGCGTTTTTTTCCTTTTTTTTTGTAGATATCCTTATCAATCTATGTCCTTCTATTTCACAAAACGTAAGTGTATAGGATATTTATGAGTAAGAGAGATGTGAATATATATAATTAATAGAAATCATTAGGATATTTATATTGGATTCCCATAATCATAATATAACACTCAACTGATTCAACTTCTTCTTCTTTACTCTCACTTTAATAGTATCAAAGTTGAGGAGCTTATCAATTAGAATTATACTCCTTCCTAATTAGTTCGTCTAAAACATTTCCTTTAATTATCAAAACTTGTTTCTTTATAACCTCCTCTTTCCTTCCATTCCTTTCACTTTAATACCCAACTATTGACATGACAAAATTCAAATGCAAAATTTCTACCTATAGCTTGTAATTCCAATTTAGGGGAGTAATTTATTCTAATTTTGGCTTCACAGTTTCTAGACTTCAAATGTAAATCTATGATTAATTAATTTTCGCTCCAAACTTTATATTTACTATTTCTTTAGTCTTAGCATAACTATTATCAACTTTATTCAAATGAAGAACAATACTTGGAAACTTACTCAAGTTGGCAAAAATCCAACGACTCGCTCACAATTGGAGCACTATTATTCAAGTGATTGAAAAATGAAAAACCACAGTACTCAGAAAATGCAAAATGCTGTCCAAAATTGCTCTTCGCCAATGGTTAGGTAATGTACAAAAATCCCAACCATACAAAATAAACTCTATCTTTTCTTATTCCTACTTTGATCACTATTAGCCCAATCATTGACATGTATCATTTCAGCTTATATATTTATATCATTATTCCTTGTTTCTCATTTTCAAACAAATGCTTTATGTTAGTTTTAAGAAAAAATAAAGGTTCTAATGTAGTGAAAAAAAGATCTTAATTTATACAAGTAACTAACTTGAATTTGTGATAATTTGTAAGATATATATGCTTCTAACAAGTAGGATAAATTATATTTTTATTTTTTAATTAATTCTTTCTTCATTTGCTTTATTCATGGATTTATCCATATTTTTTTAATTCATTCAATATCATTAAGGAATATGTGATTATACCATGGAAAACTCATTTATCTTTGTTATGTAATAAATATTATGTGCTAATTGAGAAAGTTTTAGCCAATGAGTTGTCTGGTCAAATTTTATACCTAACATTTTCTTCTAATACATTGTCGCTGTACAGGGACAAAATGTTGAAGCCCTAATTTATTGTATAGATATAGAATATTTGAACAAATTTTTTGACATCTATAAAATATACTACATCTCTAATGCAAAAGTTCAACCCATTTTGACCATAAGTTCCACCCAAAAAAAATGAAATATTCATGGATCATTAACACCACAACTATTATCCAACAATTGTAAGAAATTAACAGGCCACTCTCATTTCAGATGCCTCCATCTCCCACCTTAATAGAAATTACAAAATATGTATGATCCAAATTTTCTTTCAAAAACTAACAAGTATGCCTCTTAAATAACGCCATTAACAAATTCATATGTTCAAACTTTCCTACAATTGCTATTCACATTCAATCACAACCTATAATAGCAGATCTACGTACCAGACAAATCATCATTGTTGATCAACTGTTTGACTAACACCTTTCCAATTAATAAAATGCACTATAAATATATTCTCATTAACAATGTTACACAATTATCAACTAATAGCACTAACTCTTTGACATGTATATAACAACAATGAGAACCAACCAATAGTTGACATTGCTCTCTCCCCGACACAAGCATCTTACGACATTAAATATTACAAATATTACAAAAATTACAAATATTCAAGATGGATTATTACACTCAGAAATAGCTTCTAATAAAATATTCAAAAATTTTGCAGCTCTCAACCTATCTATAAGATTAGAGACAACCCAAGGAAAGACACTACTACAATAGAGATTACCATCTACAATAAAAAGTTAAATTTAACAGGCTACTACTTTAACTTCATTCAAATACGAGAGGCACTATGAAGAAGATTTATGAATTCCGCTTTTATCTAATATTCCATTTTTATATAGTTTAATATACAGTTACACTTAATCTTCTAATAGTAATAGTTCTCTTTTTCTTATTACAAATTACACTTCTTTACTATTACACCAAACAAAAACTATAAGGTATCTTAAACCATAGGTGCTAAATTCCCATGTGATACATGGGCTCTCCCTCTAGTTTTTCTAAAGAAAAGTTACTTTGGCAAAAGACTCTTTGTTTTTTTTTCAAAAAAAATAAGGTTATACAATTATGGGACCAATGCAAGAGATTACAAAAGATTTTGATTGTTCTTGTCTGCTTTTATTATCTCTTATTACATTTTGCCACTTTTCTAGTTGGATTGAAATCTATCATAAAACAAAAGTTCAAAATGAAAACAAACAATCATCATGGAAACATATCTTTACGAGTAATTAATTCCACAGTACATTGGGATATCATTTCATTAGTTAAATAATTATTAGTTAGATATATGTTAAGTAAATGATTTGATTACATTGAGATAGCTAGTACACTATCCTAACATCGGTATAAAATTCCCCAACCTTTTGTCACATTAAATCTAATTAGAAAAAGGAAAGTAAAAAAAAAAAACATATCTTGAGAAAAAAATCCCAGATTTATAGCTTTAATCCATATCATGCAAATGGATTAGATACCAAGCCGAGTATCTATGAGATTTTACCCTATCCATTATTATTTGTTAGCCTCCTACCTATTGTTAGCACTTAAGAAAATCATATCATGAGAACAGATAAAAGACAAAATAGATTCGATGTTCTTGGTGGTTTGGTACGCTTTTAAAAAGATATCCATATATTCTTGTATTGAGAAAACTGAAAATCCTAAGTACTTTTTTTTGTGCACAAACACTAAAGGATCTCAAATTAACAAAAGAACAAACGGGTTTAGTTGCCTTATAAAGGGAAAATAGCTCTTGTTTCTAAAATACCTTGTATTTGGACTCTCTTCATTAGTACGAGAATGACTCGCCTCATCCTATCGGGTTGGACTCGCTCCACGAGAAGAACCTGCCACATCCCTATGCGATGACTTGTAGGAATATTGCTGCCCTCTCCATGTTTAGCCATCCCATCCCTATGGAAGGGGCGAAGGACTCGCCATACAACCGCTTGTAAGAATACTGCTATCTTCTCCATGTCTACCAGCTCCAAAAGGAGAACTCGCCACATCCCTATGGGTGGGGGAGGACTTGCCATTTGACTTCTTGTAGGACTTGTAGGAATATTGTTGCCCTCTCCATGTCTAACCGGGCCATGTAAATTACAAAATGTAATAATAATAATAATAATAATTTGTAAAATCCATGCCAGCTATTGTCACTGAAGTAATAATCTGTTATATATTTTAAACAATACCTATTTGGTGAATCATGAGTTTGTGTTGCCCCAGCACCATGAACAGGAGGTTCCCTGTAATAAAGAATATCCACAAAATCAAAAACAATTTACAATTGACTGTCACAATCGACAAATGTAGTACGTCTTAGACAAAGTACTCATCTGCCAACCTCTTTATCCAATATCATCATCAAAGAAATACCATATCATGCATGCCAAGTTAATGGCGGTTTCCACAAGAAAAGTCCAATATGTGCAATTGATAGTTTATGTTCCTTTTGTCCCGCCTTAGTTATAGTGAAACTGATAGCCTTTGCATTTAAATTTGTTGCAGAAAAAATAAAAAAAATGTTCATAATAAAATATGGAATGCATATTTAGTGTTAGTTCCTGGTCGCGCTTAGGATTTTTTTTTAAAATTTTTTTGGCAAACCCGATAAACATGTAAGTAATCTTTCCAAAAGGTCACTTACATATATATATATATATATAACAAGCCAAATATTATGGAGTAACTATCCAAATTCAAATGGGATGTACCTGCCCCATCTGTCTGCTAACGTGTCTTTCTCCTACTCTTATACACTTTCAGAGAGGCCACACGTTGGGAAGCTCTATCACCAGTAGTTATAGAGGAACCGTACGAGATCAACGAGCATATTAATACTACCATGTAAGCACTTGTTCACTTTTCACATGTTGAAATAGTTGTTGTGGAATTGTTATTTAAGTTTTATGACTAAACAACTAACAGGGAAACTTAAAATAATAATAACAATAGCAAAATGCTCTAATGACCCTCAAACAGTTACGAAATTTAATTTTTGATCCTCAAATTATTAATTGATAAGTTTTAGCTCTCCAATTAATTAAAACATATAATTCAAGCCATTCCATCAACTTAAATCGTTATGTCTATCCCTAAAAAGGTAGAGGAAAGAAAACACATAAACAAAACATAAACCACAAAATTCAACAATAGCAAGTTGTTAGGTCCTAGTACTAACTTAATCAGCCCCGTTTGATAAAATTGAATCTAAATTTTGAAATCTGAATTCTGAAATTTGAATACTGAAACAATTAATTTATTGAATTTTAAGCACTGAAAAGAAATATATGAATCTCTGAATTTTAATACTAAATCTATTTATACTGTTTAATAAACATTTATAACTGAATGCTTAATAAGTTAAATTTGACAATTTTACCCTTATATCTTTTCATCCAAAAAAGAAATAGAACCTATGATTTAATTAGTTTAAAATTTTTAAGTATAAAAATGATAATATTTATTTTTAAATCAAATTAATATAAAAAATGAAATATATTATATGAGAAGTATGGAGAAGATGTGAAAGTCATTAAAATAGGAGAAAAGAGAAATAGAAAATCATTAGATAGAGAATATTACGTTGTTTAATTAGATAAGAAATTTGAATATAATTAACAAACAATGGTAGATTTGGTAGATAAGATAAGGTAGTTGACGTAATTCTATTGATTCTTATCAGAATTAAGCATTCAGTTAGAATTCTTGTTCTAAAAAAATACACACAAGTTCAACACTATTTAATAAGTTCAACAAATAAGTTTTCATTTATCAAACACTCAAAACATCTGAATGTCTGAAAAAGTTCAAATTCAGCACTTTTTTATGTTATCAAACAAAATCTGACATGATATCTTAGTACCCTGAGAACGGCATTGGTGAAAAACAAACATGACTCTCTCATATGATCTTCGTAGTCATATAGAACAAAACAAGTTTCTGACTGGCTATAACTTGGTATAGTATGAATCCACAATTCCACGGGGCATATACATCTCTGGCACATATAGTTGTTCAGTTTCCCATGCTTTAGCCATTTCTGCACAAGCCAATACCAATTAAACATTGAATTCAATTAAACCTTTTCATTTCACTTATAGATAAACAAGAAGAAATAAGACATACCATATACCACTCACAAGATAAAATAAAGAAAAAATCTAAATAAAAATTTATCAAACGAATAAGGAAAGTAGGAAGAGCAAAAGTTTTTGGAATTCACCAACCACCACGTACGGCTAAAATGCTGAATCAATCATATCTTATTGCTCAAAGTATTGTTGTGTACTTCTGTTACGTAGAGTAGTAAATGTGTAGGAGAAAATCAACTCAATCAGAAGCTGCTAGACTTGAGAAAGCAACTCGAGAAAGAGAGGCAATATTATTGAAAATTCAAGAGAATGAATAAAAACAATACTAATTTTCAGATTGTTCTACACCCTTGTTGCTCGTCCCTTTTATACAAGAATTACAAGTATTCCTACCACCGCCTTTCTAGTGCTGCAATTCAGCTCTAACTGATTTGATTCTTGCTAACTTTCATTAGGCTACAATCGCTACTACTTTACTATGTTTTTTTTTTTGTTTTGGGGGGGAGGATATTATACAACGCCATTAATAAAGTAATATAACTAATGCAAAACGGGAAAAAAAAAACACTAAGAACTGAGATGTGTGCATAATAATTACAAGGATAAAAAGAGTAAGAGGATGATCGTCGTTAAAAGGATTGATCCAAAGATGTGAAGTAACTGCAACTTGTTCGGAGATATTGAGATTTTCTAGAGTGAACAACCTCATTTTTATACTAAAACTTAACTGACAAAGAAAAACACAGTTTTGGTTTAGATCCGTATGACTTTAGTTTAATATTGGAAAATAAGTTATTCGAAACATTGATGAAATATTGATTTTAGAGCAAATTATCCGTTTGGCCATTAAACTTTTACAATCGTCGAGTTTTGGTCACTCAACTATTAAAAGTTTGATTTTGGCCACTCAAATGTATAAAAGCAAGACGCAAGGTCATTCTTTTAGATTTAGTCGTTAACTTTGCTGATCTGTCCGTTTGTGCGATTTTCAATACAAAAAGCAAGATCAATTTAGGAAGTTGAAAATAGATCTTCAAAGCCGCAATCAAGTCCAATTCAATTAAGCCATATTCATGCCTTGGCTCCTGGAACTTCTCCGACGACTCTTACTTCATTCCTCGGGCTTATTTCTCCTACGGTCTTTTATGCAGTGGCAACAGTGTAACCCAGCTCACCCTCAACCCGGCTGATTATGCCGGCACCCTGACTCCACTCATTTCTAAGATCGCTCAGCTCGTCACGCTCGACCTGTCAACCAACAAATTCTCCGGCCCAATCCCTCCGCGCTACTCCCTAACCAATCTGCAAACTCTTGTACTTCGATTCAACTCCTTCTCCGGCACAGTCCCACCCTTTTTAACCGCGCTTAAATCCCTGGAGACGGTTGATCTCTCTTACAATTATCTTTCGGGATCACTGCCGAACTCGTGGAGCTCGATCGGCAGCTTGAGAAAGCTCGACTTGAGTTACAACAAACTCACCGGTTCACTCCCCAAGCTCCCGCCCAACCTCATTGAGCTGGCGATCAAAGCCAATTATCTGTCCGGGCCGCTTTACAAGACTTCATTCCAGGGATTAACTCAATTGGAGGTTGTTGAACTCAGCGAGAACTCGTTTCCCGGGACACTTGAAACTTGGTTTTTTCTCTTGCCTACTTTGCAGCAGGTGGACTTGGCGAATTACAGCTTCACGTGGGTCGACATCTGGAAGCCTAAGAATGGGAACAGCAACCTGGTGGCCGTCGATCTGGGATTTAACAGAATCGAATGGTATTTGTCCGTAAATTTCGCGGCGTATGCTCTGTTGTCGTTTCTGTCATTGCGTTACAACCGGTTTCGTGGATCAATCCCTTGAGAGCTTTGAAGATCTATTTTCAACTTCCTAAATTGACATGTTTTTTGTATTGAAAATCGCGTAAACGGACAGATCAGCAAAATTAACGACTAAATCTAACAGAATGGCCTCGCGTCTTGCTTTTATACATTTGAGTGGTCAAAACTAGACTTTTAATAGTTGAGTGACCAAAACTCGATGATTGCAAAAGTTTAATGGCCAACCGGATAATTTGCTCTTAATTTTAACCTGTCAAACTTCATTAAATATTTGTTTGGATTGGTTTAAACTTGTTAGGATCTAGACGAGGAATAAATAACTATTGAGATATCAAGTGCATAACAATTTAATGAGAAACAAGTCACAAACATGAAAGATAAACGACACACAATATTTAACGTGGTTCGATTCCATCATTGAGCCTACGTCCACGGATAGAAATCTGTTCTTTATTATGAGAGGAAAACTCTATACAAGAATACAACTTGAACCCAAACCCAACCCTTGTATACCATCTCTCATCTCCCAAGAATCCTCTCACACACCCCATGTATAACGCTACATGATGTCCCTTGTGTCTCTTTGTGTGTCTTTTGTGTAGTATGCCAACCCACCTATTTATAGAGAACATTATTGCCAAAAAATCAAATAACAATTGGAAACCAATACTATTTCCTAAACTCATATAGAGTAGAAAATAGTATCTAATTCTAGCTAAATAAGGCTTTACTTGACTGCTATTTCAAGTAACTAAATCCAATTAGGAAACTAGTTACTTCCCACACCAAATAAGAAATCTATCTAAAAGAATTTAATCCAATTTTTTAACAAATCTCCACCTTGGTGAAAATTTCTTTTAGCAACCATTTGCCTTCAACTACCAAATAATATGGTACCAAACTACACATCCGAATCAATACAGTTCTGACACCAAATTGATTCAATCGGCAAATGAACATGTGTAGTTACCCCGAGTCCAACCTCCAGTTGACTCGTGAGAATGTGCCTCAATTCACCATTTTCCTTTGCAGGATTTCTTCTCACCACCACTTGTAATCTGGGATCCCCTTATGTGAGTTCTAACCCTAACCATTGAGGTAATCAAGTGGTAAAATCATCATATTTCTTCCCATCCTCAGGACTGTCTCGCCACGTGTGGTTTCCAAAACTCCACCTAAAACGAAAAACTCGTACCTGTCAGAGTCTTCTAGCGCATAGAAATTAGATCTCCTTGTTTTTTTAGGACACATGTCACACCACCCAAAAAACATAACCAAAATCTAAAATCCACCAGGATGAAATATCAACCGTTGGAGGTGTGAGAAAGTCTCCACCGATTCACGTCCAAAATCAACATTGGACTCCACCTTTTTCTTGACCCTTGAATCACCTGCCTAGATTCACCGTCAAGCATCTCCATACTTGTCGACTTTTTATCCTTCACCATCAATGCTTTTTGCCAAGCCATTGAAACAAGGATACCATTCATTAAATTGTTCAATTAGTAACAACTACCAATCCACTTGATCTTAATAGTTAACTAGGATCCAACTACGAACGTTGAGCAGGCCAGTCTCGCAACCAAACTCTGATACCACTTGTTAGGATCCAGACGCGGAATAAATAACTATTGAAATATCAAGTGCATAACAATTTAATGAGAAACAAATTACAAGCATGAAAGATAAACGACACACAATATTTAACGTGGTTCGACTCCATCATTGAGCCTACGTCCACGGAGAGAAACATGTTCTTTATTATGAGTGGAAAACCCTATACAAGAATACAACTTGAACCCAAACCCAACCCTTGTATACCATCTCCCATCTCCCAAGAACCCTCTCTCACATCCCATGTATAAGGCTACATGATGCCCCTTGTGTCTCCTTGTGTGTCTTTTGTGTAGTATGCCA